GAATTTTCCATGGGCATCCGCTTGTCCACGACTGGGAAAAAAGCTGAACTAGACAGGCTTTTTATCTGATCCTACCAGACTTTTGATCTCCTCCTCCTACATATATCCCACCTTTTTTCCTGTTTCATACTCATATGTAGGTCATCGCAATGCATGGATGCTTGAGGGCAAGGCTTGGAAGGCATAATTATCAACATCGTAAATTTCATTTCTGTAACACCCAATAGTTGACACTTTATCTGTTGTTCACAGAAATGGACAAAGCACAGTAAGAATAATAAAATGCAGCAGAAAATACAGTTGGAATAAAATATACAATAGAATGTTAATATACATAAAACAGTTTACACATCTAAAAAAGTCTAAATCAAACTAGGCCAATTGAAGCAGCTGACATGTCCTATCATATGCTTTTATATGCCTGGGATTAGAGGACAGTTGTAACCTTGAGCTGAAAAGATGACAATGTTGGTGCTAAGTAGAGAGATCATTCCAGAACTGAGAGGCCACCACTGAAAAGGTCCTGATTTGCCCCTGAGGGGGCTACACTGGCTTTCCTAAATTAAGTGCTGGGCAATATTCGAAGCAGGAACTCACATTCCTAACTCCTATAGTGTGTCAGCTTGAAATTTATAGTTGGTCCTGATGTACACCATTGTTAGCTGTGTACATAAGGAAATGTGACCTATGAAAAAGTTGGATCACTTCTTCCCTTCCTATCCCCTCCTCTTTCCTTTACCCAAACTGGCAGACATATAAAATAGCACTAATGAATCCCAGCAGGAGAAACATTTATCTTTCCTGTAGCAGCCCTCAGAATGACTTCATTTGAGGCCTATATGACTAGATAAATGGAGCAGAGGATTTAAGGCAGAGTCCTTTTAATGAATTCTATTAAAAACATGCTTTCTGAGTGGAAACTATGAGAGGGTGATCAGCTCCACAAAATAAGTGCTTAGTGCCAACAGAATAACTGCCATGTGTGGAGGAAAGGTGAGGATGTAATATGCTCTAGTTTGCATAGGACATCTCCAAGAGACCATAAGGATTTCCCAGGGTGTGAATTATTATCTAAAGCTTCCAAATTGCCAAGTTCCTGAAGCATAAAGGGCTACAATTGCTCTCTGTGGCAAAGGGAATGAGATTGACAAATTCTATAATACCTCTGCCACAGAGTTACTTGAGTTTTGATAGCATTACTTAGGTCTGCAATTGTGTGTGAGCTGGGGAAAGAGCAGTAATGGAGTATTATCAGATTGTGAATGGCCTGAAATGTTAAAGGGAGAGGTCTCGGGTTTCTGTGAATTATATCATCTGTTATTGTAAAACTCCCCAAAGAACTACTAAAGCTGCATGTGTGTATGGGCAGAGTGGGGGACGGGGGGAGATGGTTCTTGTTTGTGATTTATTGGCAGGTATTTAGCAGGAGGTTGTTCTATCATCTTTATTTTTATACCCAGTGCCACAGAATGAATCCCCACAGTGAGGCACAGCAGGCTGAATGCTGTGTGGGTAAAGGGGCTTCTTGTGTGACTACCTGGCTCTGAATGGGCGTCATTGTCACTGCAAGGGCTGGTCCAATTCACACAACCCTGAACATGGAGTCACAGTGCCAGCTGTAAAGGAGGACAGCAAGGCAGTGAGGCAATGGCTGTATTTTAGTGACAGAACACATGCTTCACAGGCAGGAAGTCTCACATTTGACCCCAGTATCTCCAGGCAGGGCTGGAAAAAAACCCCTGAAGACCTAGAGGGCTGCTGCCAGTCCATGCTGACATTAACAGACAAGATATAACAATATGGGCCTTCTATACCTTTAATAGAGGAGTGAATGGTGGTGTACTATTGGGTCTGTAGTGTGGAAGTTAACACAATTTCCTGCACAGATGTCCTTATGAACATCTCTATGGTAGCACTATTTGCCATGGAGAAGGTCCCACTCACAAGTACAATGTATATTTTACTGTGTGCTCAAGTCATCATTTCTTGATTTTTCAACAAAAGTTGGGATTTTATTGTTCCACTTGTAATGGGATTATGGAAGCTTTCAGACAGCATAGTAAAATGCCAGGAAAATGCATAAGCAATAAAGTGGTCATAGGCCATTCAATTCAATGCAAATTTCCCCAAAGGATCACGCATATAACATGTTCACAGTACAGATGAATCCCACTGATAGTTTTCATTCTCCTACACATCAGTCCCCTGCACATTCCACTCTGTGGGAGTTGCTTCTGAGAAGAGATGTTCAGGACTGTACTGTTTGTATACATTTTCGGTCAGAATAGGAGAGTGCCAAATCTAAGCACATGCTTGCTTTACCCATGGCAAAGCATTGCTTCCCCTCCCCTGCCTAAATTGTGCTGGAGATAATATAAACAGCTTTCCAGAATAGCTTGTCATTAAAATGAGGTGTGATCCTCCCCTCCCTGAACACTCCACCTACTAATGTGAATCTATATAAAGCATTTTTTCACCTCTCCTACAGATGTACAACTGAAAGGTTTGTGGAGGGGATGCAAATTACACTTTGTATATTCATGACGGAACTGTTCAGAATATTTGCTTCCAATTAGCATACTATAATCCAGCCCATGTATTTGTGTGCCAGCAAAAGTAGGAAAAAAAGACTTTAATCCCAGATGCGAACTACGGTTTTTTTTTGAGGATGTGCGCTCTTTGTATTCTCAGAGACCCTATTTTCTTCTGATGGTTTTCAACTGTGCTTCATACTGCAAGCAGCGTTCAAGATTAATTTTCATGTTATGGGACTGATCATTTATTGATGCTTACCACCCGCTGCCACAGCTTAAGGAAAGTCTTACTTGGTATCATAGCATCTGATGGAGCACCCAGACCACTGCAAGGCCTGGCAAATGGTTCTTTTCTGGGCCTGATTGTCCAGCAAATTTCTGACAATGCCTACTTTGCAAAGCTAGGTGGGGTCTAAAGCCCAGTCATGCTAAATAAATATGGGGAGTGTCTGACACCAAAGGGCTAAAATTAAAGGATTCCTTTGGGAGTAGTAGGATGCAGTAGTAGTAGTGCTTGTATGTAGCAGTAGTGCCAGGATGCAGTAGTGCTTGTAAACAACACATGCATGATCTATTTTCTACTTCCATTGATGCTGCAGCCATCTTCCTCTCCTTCTCTTCGTAGTCTAAGTTAAGTTATGGGGCAGACGGCATGGGTTTTGGAACTACTATTGCCATCCTTGCCAGGTGCAGTCAAGGTCCATCTAAGATTGCAAACAACATCCAGTCCAAGTATCTATACTTCTATTTGCTGCCACTGCTCTTTACTGGGGACCAAGCTACACTTTGCACACTTAAAAAGTCTATTTAATGCTGCCACTTTGATTTTGAAGGAAAAGCAGCATGCAGAGGGGAGCGGGAGGGTGGCCCCTGGGACCAAAGGGCACCAGCGTTCTCTGCCTTGCCTGCCCTAGTCCGCAGCCCCACTTGTCCGAGCTGTGCGCAGGGAAGACGAGCGTGCAAGCAAGAGACCGCAGCTTCCCCCTGGGCAGCGCCAGGAGCGCGCCTCTGCTGCCAGCGGACAGTGCAACAGGCAGGTCTCGGCGGAAAGGGGTAGCTCCTCCACCTCGCGGCTCAGCAGCTGAGCCTCTGCGCAGCTTTCCTGGGCAGCGCAGCGCAGCCGTGCGGAGTTAGCCCACGTTCTTCCCGCTGTACCAGCGAGAGAGATCGGGTACATGCTTCCAAGCCCAAGGGCTGGCCATGGGAAAGCTGAAGAAGCCGCCAGCCCACTGCCTCAGGAAGGCTCCTCTTCTGCTCAGCTCCTGCACTTTGCTCTGTGACAGTTCAGGATGCAGCCCTGCGGGGCCATCGCACGGGCAGAATGCACCAGCCGCAGCTCTGCCTGCTGCGCACTCGCTGGACGAGCTAGGCTTGCTCAACCCGATCCCCACCGCAAGGGCACTGTAGAATAGGCGCCAGGGGCCCGATCCGGATCAGGATCCTAGCATGGGGCTATAGTAGGATTTAACCCATGGACCCAATCCAGATTGAGCCCCCTGTGCCTACTGTAGAAATAAAACGGTGTGCGAAGGGGGGGGGGGGCTGAAAGCTGTTTCGGCCCTGCAGCAGCGGCTACACAAGCCTACTCCGCCCAGCGCGAGCTGGGCTCTCCTCCCACCACGACCAGCCCTCCGTGCTGCACGAGCAGAAGGCGATGCCGTCGGGGCAGGCAGCTTTCTAGGTCCCGTCCGGGCGAGCAAGACTCGAAGGCAGGAGCAGCCGCTGCCTTTCTGGCTCGCACTGCTCCTTCCTCCCCGCAAGTTGCGGAGCTCAGAGCCAGGCACAGACGCCGCTTTCAGTCTATGTAGCAGTTCCGTTTCTCCCATTTCTGTTGTATTCCACAGGGAGCCCGATCTGGTTCAGGTCCAAAGGGTTAAAGCCCTCCTATCGCTTCACGCAAGGTCCTGAGACGGATCGGGCTCCTTGTGCCTTCTCTACGGTAAACATCAGGAAAGCGGCGGAGTACAGGATCAAAGTAACGACTGCTCGCGGGGTCTGCCTGGGCGGGGCTCCCTCCCCTCCGTTCCTTCCGAGCCCCTGCCGTGGGCCAAGAGGTGCGGAGGAAAGGTCGCCATTGACGATGTGATCGCAGATCAAAGAAATCCCCTCCCGCTTTCCGAAGCGACGATCAGCTGCTTTCCATTCAAAATCGAGCAGCAGCAGCAGCGCTAAACACGTTTTCTCTTTCTTGCTCTTTTCAACGCGTGTTCAGCAGAGAGAGCAGCCTGGCTCTGAATTCCGCCTCGCCTCCGCCTCCCTCGCTGCAAATGGCTTCTCCTTCGCCGGCACTACCCCGCCCGGGCGGTTCCACGCACCCTCGTGCCTCCTCCGCTCGCGGGATCGGACGGCGCTAGGACCCGGCGCGCCGCCCAGCGGGCCGCCGGCAGGCCAGGCAGCTCGGCAGACTCCTCCTTATCTCCAGTGTCAAACTTGACATCAGGCTGCGAGCGGAGCATGGTAACTTCTCCTGCAATCAGAGCGCTCACATCAGTGGCATGCTTCAGGAAGATATGCAGCTCGCGCTGCCCTCCTCTACACCAGCAGCATGGATTGTCACCTCTCCATCCTCCTCCTCCTCCCCCTCCTCCTCGGATCTACTCTCAGCTCTTTGGGGGATCTGAGCCTTCATCCTACCAACGAAGGTAAGCGCAGCCTTTCAAAGAAAGCCCGGGAGTACCAGAACTTGCCTGGAGCCGCTGGAGGAGGGAGCAACCTGTCCCGATGGCTTTCAGTTTTTAAGGTGGTCCAGGGTGGCGTGCTCAGTATAGATTTAAAAGTCGCTCCTGGCACACACATTTCGGGGGGCGTGCGTGCGTGCGGGGAGGCTTTCAAGCACAAGCGCGTGCTTCCGTTGCATGCCCCAATAATCGTGGCACAAGGGTGCCTGGATGTAACTTCATTGTTAGCTGTGATGGACGCTCCTTGGCAAAGTTAAACGAGATTGTCGCCTTTTTCTGGGGCAGGGTGCTTGCTGGCACCCTGCTAATGTGACAGTGGCCTGCCTCAACATCCATGGATGCAGCCAGGGTAAGGACGCAGGTAGAGGGCACAATCCGTGCGTTTTGCAGCAGCCGTTCATGTGTTTTTTGCAAAGTGACTTGGGTCCAGCTGATAATGAGCAGGGCGTGTGTGTTTGATTATCATCGTAAAAGTGATGCCAAGAAGCCATCCCAGGGAAATCCCATGTGTTTGCGGTGGGGGGGTGGGGAGGGGATGCAGTTTTCACTGTTTTACTATTTTGTGGGTAGATTAGAGAGATCTAAATACATGAATAAAGAAATGAAAGAATGAGAAAGAATGGGACAATGCTTAGAATCCTATTCCAATCTTTCATTGCCTATTTATTTTAGTCAATAGCTATATCATTAGTTTTATTGCATTAACAATCCTGTGACTCATTTATATCTGTTGTTTTGACCTATAATTGCATTGACTAATTGGAGGGAAAAACAACAATAAAACCTCATGGTCCACATCCTTTAAAAGGTGCTTGTTACTGGGATTAATGCATTATTTTAAGACAGCAATTAAATTTGCTAGTTTGCATTACAAACTTCATGTAATAAATTACTATATTCCTTGCAAAATTCACCTGTGTTTGGTGTGACATATGTCACAAATAGATTTAAATTAGTATACAGATATATACATTTAATTATGAAACATTTAATTGATTCAGGGACTATCATTAAGAACGTTAAACGTTTCATATATTTTTATGGGGGAGGAGTAACCAAATGGATGTTTTGTGTTGAAAAATAATTGAAGGTGTTTCTTTAAAAGGCACACCCAATAATTGCATGGGTGAAGTCAGACTACTGAACATTCAACCTTTGACACAAGAGTGTTCAAGCACACTGACTTACATATAACATTTGAATGTTGAAAGACTGGAAGGAGCATGTAGTATCAAATAATTGTGCAGAGCTTTGAATCTGCTTGAGTAGTGCTACATATTAAGTAATTCTTGATTGCTCTGCTTAGTAAGCAAGAATATTTAATACACTGAACACTGGCAGTGCATTTGGGTGAGAGAAGGCAGTCACATCAATATTTTTCCCAGCCTGGGATAAATATACGTGGGTGAAAATGCAGGTTGAAAATGTTTAGTTGTTTTTTGTTTTTTTTTTTTTTCAGTACAAAAACAAGCAAGTTGTTTTCCATTTTAAAAATAAGAAATCTCCTTTATGAATGCATATTCAAAGCTGTTTAAAATGGATATATTGTATAATGATTGGTAGATGATGTGCTGCTGATAGGAAAGCTGCGCTATTAATTGTGTGCTATACTTTTTTTTTTTTTGGCTATTAAAGCATGAGTACAGATAGAGGCCAGTTTGGAGTGGATGCAGTGCTGGGTGACTAAACTCATTGATAATTTGCACAATAGAGCAGTAAAGCATCTAACTCACTGGCTGGCAAAGTGTGCTGTATACTAAGACAGCAACAGGCAATGGAAGTTTTTCTGCATCTAGTCTGATGTCTTTTGTCATTAAACAGCAAAGTATTCTATAAAATATACTATCTGGAGAAGTCTTTTCTAAAAATCCATTTTCAGATATACTTATTTTCTACATAGTTTTGCATAAACTCACAGACATTTGGTTTTCTTGCCTATATCTTTAATTTGTATTATAGTTCACCCAGTGTCTTTAAACTGCCCTTTGTAGATGTCCATCAGTGTTATAATTATGTAATTACAGTTATAAGTGGACTTAGAATCTAAGAAAAATACAAGAAAATATGTATTTGTTTAATATGTAGCATACCTAGAAATAAAACATCTTTTGAAAATGTAGTTTTTGACATTATTTCCATACATTTGAAATATATTTCCTGTTAAAATAATATCCTGAATAGATAACATGAATGTAGACATTTTTTAAAACTTTTTAAAATTCAAAGTGTGTGTATTTGAGACATGTGCATGGGACAGTCAATACCTACACCAATGCTCCAGTTGTATACTCACTTACCTGGAAGCAGGCCCCATAGCACTAATTGAGGCAATCTTCTTAGCAGACATGTGTAAATTGAATTGTTAAAGGTTAACCTATCTTCTTCCTACCAGCTGTTGGAAACCCAATCACAGAATCTTCAGAGAAAAGGGAAATCTGTACAATAATTTTAATACTAATTTGAAATGTTGGAGTATTATTATATCTGTATCCATGATCATATAGTACAGCATATTAAACTTTTTACATATCCCGGATTAAATTTACTATGAATTGAGCATATTTAACTGATTACAGACTAGTGGGAAAGAACAAAGCCGTTCCTATAGCAGCATAATTTGGGGTATTTTTTGGTTTGCATTTTTATTCGTATTTTTTTCATTCACTGATATCTGAATCATTTGGTTTTCAATCCATTTAAAATGCCATAATAGTATCCTGAATAAAATAATTGCAATTTTTAGAGAAAATAAAAGGGTTAGATCAAGTTCTATTTAATGCTATCTATTCTGGTTTTGTTTTTTTTTGTTTTTTGTTTTTTTTTTGCTGTGGGGGTGGGTGCATGATGTGTTTGACTGAAGCTCCAGTTAAGCAGAGAGGTGATGAAACAGGTAATTTCATCTCAGCTATTTCTAAAGAGTAAATTCATCCCTCTCTCTCTCTCTCTCTCTCTCTCTCTCTCTCTCTCTCTCTCTCTCTCTCTCTTTCTCTTTCTCTGTGTGTGTGTGCGTGTGTGTGTGTCTCGAATGGCAAAGTCCTTTGAGCAGTCTCAACATAGTAGAGTTGTGAAGTGTGAGCCATCTATTCAATAACAGGAAAATGTCAGGAGGAATTAACATCTGAATAATGAATGGATTTTTCTCCATTCTGAGACTTAAATAGATTTTTTATATGTACAGAAATTTCAGGCTAAAAGTATGCTCTCTTGAGTTCATAAGTCACCACTTTATCTGTCTGAGATGAAATCTTTGAAAAGAGGTTCTACTTTCTTATCGAAGCCATCTTGATGTCTTCTGGATTGTGCTTGTCAAATCAAGAACTAAATGAGTGATATATCATCCTGCAATTTAATAGTTTTTTTCAAATTCATTTCTGTAATGATACTATTTGCCCCAGGGTACCAGCAACCTTAATTTAACTGTTTTATAACCTGCAACAGTTAACACTTGACCTAGGTCATTAACAGGATTATCAGCAAATTTGTTTAAGCTTTTACTGACAACCTGAATTGCTTCAATAATATTTTGACTGTGCAGACAGGAAACTTCTTTTAACCTCTCAAATCTCACATAAAGAATTTCTTATGAACACAACTACCCAAAAAGACACCAAGATTGTACATCTGTTCATGGTTACCTACAAGCTCCATTTTGGTAAACAGCAGGACGTATTTCAGACGCTCTGTTTACAGTGCATGAGTTTTTCTTCAAATTACTTCATTGTTTGTTCTTACCATATCAGAACATTTGTTCAGTGACAAAGCTGCATCCTTTGCCTGGCAAACATATTTTACAAATTTAAAAATATCAATGTGCTTTTCAGTGATGTCAGCATCTGTGTCGTTTTGAAGTGGTTCAATAGACAGACATACTGGCCTATACGCATAACTTTTCCATATCCAAATTGTAAGGTTTTTCCTCATTATACGGGGAGTCTTAGAATTTGATCTTTTTTTTATGATAGTACACTATTTTTAATGGATTTTTTTGATCAAAATAAAAATGCTAGTAAATGTTATACATTCTGTATTTGTTTATTTATTTAAGGGACAGTCCTCTGAAAGTTTTTCTACTCAAGCTACCCTGAAGTGAATAACAAGACAGAACCTGTTAGTGTTCTTACATTCACATTAATTTCTACATTCGTGTCCATTCATTTGAAGGACGCTTGAACTAGGGGATTTCTCAGGAGACTGTGTCATTATTTATTCATTCCACAGTATTCTAAAAGCTTGGGGTTTGGTAAAAGTTGCTTAAAAGCAAAAGACCAAACTCTAAAAATATCACATAAATGACAAAGCAAGCATCCATGAAAATTCAGCATGATTAAAATTCCAACTCTAATTCCATCCATCCACCCACCCGCCTGCTCACCCACCCCTTGCTGACGCCAGTTTAACCCCAACCATTAAGTTAGCCTAAATAAAATGGACTTAACTACGCTCCCTGAACAAGTTAGGTGTGGTGACATGACAAATCTCGACTTTTAATGATAAAATTCCTGCTGTGTTTAAAGTTTAGCAAATGTCATTTTACGGACCAGAACTTTCAAGTGTGTTATGGGGGGTGTGCAGCAATTACTGCAAACCAAAATAAATTGTCAGATTCTTAAGGTGGAATACAGAAGATGTAAGGGTTAATTTTCATAAAGTTGCTTCTTATTCAAAGTTGCTTTACTTTAACAATTGCTTATGTAGTCAAGAACAAGTAAATAAGAATAATGCTCAGAATGACATTGGGAAGATTCTTTTATTATGAAACTAAATATATATTGAGCTCTTATTTTCATTTCAAGGCTTGGCTGGTACATTGTAATAATCTAAATCTTGCTTTTGTTTCTTTTAAGATTTCCAAGGTGAGACTGATTCATTAGGTAATTTTATAGTCCTGAATAAGGACACTTTTTAATTTGGAGAAGCTAAAATGTAAAATTCTTACCATAACCTAGATGCATAGTGTTTAAATC